TTATAACGAGCGTTCAAATAAAAACGTGGTCGAAGTTGGCTCTGACACATTGGACGTAGGGCGTAGCTTATAGCGACCAACTTAACCTCATTTCTCAACGAGCTGTATAGCAGCTGCCAGTTTCAATAACAAAGCGGCGATACAGCGCTTTGACAGATGACGTTTAAGTTCATTTGCTATACGCTACGCCCTACGTCCAAATTTTCAGAACCAACTTGACCATGTTTTTATTTGAACGCTCGTTAGAAGGTGCCTATAATAAATTAAAATCACTTGAATCACACCAAATTCTGCATTGCTGCACTGCACTGCACTGCTGGGCAATTTGTCAACTACTTGTCAACAGTGACATTTATTGCCCAGTGGCCCAATGCAGCTGTGTTTGGATTTCGTTTGGCCGCGCTCGCATTCTTCAACTGGGCTATACATTTCTACCACCTCCACGTTTCGACCATACCTGTATATGGATATGGGCGGTATGGCTCAATAAATATGGGAACAAGTTTTTCAAATGCCGAGTTGCTGCGTCAGCAACCGAACCTGGTACATACTGTCAACCTCTTGGTTCTTCAATTGATATTGGAAAGACTATAACCCCATCAATTTTTTAAATTCAACGTTTTTTTGATGTGATGGATGGATGACTATTTGCTTAGGGCATAGTATTCTTGAAACAAAATGTATTTATGTATTTCGAAATAAATATCATCTTTTCAATTTTTTTTATTAAACATTCTCAATTTACTTAATGTATTTTAGAAACTGGGTTAATTTAAAATAGAGTTCAAATATTGTGAATTAAATAATCAGTATGTCTACCATATCCACAAATGCACATATTTGGGCTCTGTTAATGAGAGAAGTCAATAAATAATTTGTGATTTTCGCCTTCTGCAATTCGTTTTTACAATCGTTAAGTGTAACAAATACAGGGTATTTTCACAATTGATGCATATTTTTTAGTAGGATGTAGATAGAATTCATAAAAGTAAATAATTTTACCAGAAAATATCTAGACATACATTTAATTTATGGGGAGTACCAACAAAGTGCAGTTGCAGCATTTTATTTATACCTGGAGAGATTTTTATTAACTAATACCATAAAAATATTTGCTAACTTATTTCAAAGGTATTGAGATGTGGAGTGTTTAAAGCAGCATTGAGAACATGCGGGAAGACTTGTACTACTGGAAATGGCTGGAGTCAGTCTGAGCTTCTCTCATTTAAATACCAAATTAAAATTGTACGTTTGAGGTGGTATAATGTTATTTAAGTGATCTCTGGACAAGGCATTTCAAGGTCAAATGTTTAATAATCACTCAAAGGCTGTTTAAATATCATTTTAAAAATTAAATTAATTTCAACAGTAACAAAGGTAATGTTGACCTTAGAACGACCTTATGAGGTCATTGTGACCCATTACAAAAGACACCATCTGAACGTTCAATTTTCCGCTCTTCAATTCTGGGGTCAATAATAAAGGATCCAATTTGAAAATTTGAAGTTGACCTTGACCGACCTTGATTGGTGACCTCAAGATCAAATTTAAGGTCAATAACAGAGTTCCCCATCAAACTTTTATAGAGGTCATTTTTCGCTAGAACATAAAACTGTTGGAGATATTACCGTGGAGCAATTAAAATGGCCCACCCTGTATGTACACATTAAAAGCAGGAGAGGTATTGATGGGATCCACTTTCCTCCATTCAGAATTTTATTAAAATTACAGAGAAATATGTCTGCGTCAGCATAGGATAACAGAAAAAAGTTTGCAAAATTTCAAAGGAATTACAAAAAAAAATAATGGGAGTTAACAGTTCTGTTTTAAATTGTAATTTTGATGTTATATTTTAAAAAGGAAGCACCTAAATAAGAAACGTTACAAAGTCATAGGTATCATTTACGTTCAAAGAATCTGTGGCTAACGGCTTTGACTTTTTTTTGTAACACCCTTTATATTTTTAACAGGTATTGATACTGACAAGTACAAATATCCTATTGGCTCAGGACGTGTTACTTTCAATAATCCTCGTTCCTACATGAAAGCAGTAGCTGCTGCATTCATTGAAATTAAAACCTCAAAATTCACCAAGAAGGTAACATTATAAGTAAGAAAGTTTTCAGGAAATACATTTTTAAATAAATTTAGGTACAAGTGGATCCTTATCTAGAAGATTCTCTCTGCTCAATTTGTGGCGTCCAACAAGGGCCATATTTCTGCCGTGACATGATGTGTTTCCGATATTTCTGTCGCATTTGCTGGCAGTGGCAGCACAACAGCGAGATTCGTCACCACAAGCCCATGATGAGAAATTCCAAGAATAGTCAAGTACTAGGCCTAGGAACTGCGCCGGCAGCTGTTAACTAAGCAAGTATACATTTGCTTTCAACTTGATGCGTTAGATGTGGAATAAATATTTAGCGAAACCACATGTACACACTTTGTTTTAGGTAACTACGCTTGTTCAAAGCGTATAACGTTGTTGAAATTGTTATACTGCTACTACTTCTCAAAGTGGTTGGTTTATTGTTAGGTAATTTTAGTACTTAAGTTCGAATATAACTTGTGGTTTATACAAATAAACTGGAGTATTTGAGTCGCCGTTCTTAAAGTTGAACTGAATTGTGACTTCTTGAAAGCTTTTCCATTCTAAATTTATTAAAAGTATGGGTGTGTCTTAAAAAAACATTTATGGGTTCATATAAATTCTTACCCTATTGCAGGTTAAATGTAAAAATTTGTCGTCGAAAATTTATTCCATGTAATGTTACGTGTTTCATACGTTAAACCTCTTTGATTTTAATCATTCAAGGTCGTAGATCTATTTTATAATTGTTTTATAGTTGTATTTTGTATTTAACCTGGAAAAGTTTTTCATCAAAATGTACTTAAATCTAATGAGGTGTCTTTATTGTGTTGCTGATACTCTCTATAAATCCATTTTTTTAATAAAAGCATCCTTATGAATCGAGCAGTTACAGGGAAGTGATGCAATAATTTTTTATCAATGATTGTAATATTTGGACACTGAAAACTAATTTGGGACTCGCATATCCCTAAACGAAAATTTTATAGTTTCAATTTCTTAAAAGTATAGTTTTAGATGTAACAGATATTTTATAATAAATTTGGATTATTTGTTAGTGTTTAACATAATTGTAGTTTTAAGTGTTGATATTTAAAGTTTTTTAAAACCTAATTGTTTATTTAACTTTAAAAGTTTGTGGGCTGTTGGGTAGTATATATATTTTTTATAAATTTTAGGATATTTGCTTTACAGTCGTTACTGTATCGATCATAAATAGGACTGCTTCGGAGATAGATTTTGGCAATGTTCTTGGTTAATACGATTTTGGTTACTGCTTTGTTAAAGATTGGTTAAGAATTATTGTGCTTTGTACGCCCTATCTAATGTATACATAAATTATGATAATTAATATCTTGTTATTTTTAAAGAGTTTATATTAAAAAATATCTTGCATAATCTGAAACCTTCTTTCATTACAGCTCAGGGTGGAGGTTCCTCGAGTTAATGCATGCTGCATGTTTTTTAACACAATTCTTTTAGTTTTATTTATTTTTATTTTTTGTTGTGCTGTTTATGTTCATTAACAGACTGCTTGTTGTGATTGTAGTTTTAACAATTCCAATTTAGTGTTACTAATGTTGATAACTTTTAAGAATTCACTCTTAAGTTACCTGATTGTTTTATGAGAAATTTGTTTTATTTTTATTTTTTTATAACATTTTTAACAGGATTTTAATAGTTCGATTACTAATATTTTTTATGTGAAATTTAACATAATTGTGATATACGTAGGTTATAACTAGCCATATTTAAAGTTACAATTTTAAAACAGTTTTAAAAATTTTTATCCAAATTAACAAGCTATCTTTTTATGATGCAAATGATCTGTAACTTAAAATATGCGATGTTGGTGATTTAGTATTCAATTCAAATACTAACGAAATTCATACACAGTCCTGCTATTAAGTTTTAAGACTGATTTTGTTGTGGCGACGTGCATGATGCTATCTATGTGCGAACAACGGAACTACGTAGTGGTTAACCTTCTGAGCGACCGAACAGAATTTCATCAGTATACGTGTATCTACCACGAAGTTATAATGTTTTGCATGAAGCAAGCTTTTGATAGTTACGAAAATTCACATTGAACAGCTCACATCAAACAAGTTCTGTTTTAAAGACGGTGAAACAGCCACAGAAATGTATCAACTGTTACAAACAGCGAACCGTGAGGAGTATCATGTCCGAATGTGTTCCTGTGGTTGGTGAGGTTTCGTGATGGCCAAGACAGCATGTACGATGATGAGGTGACAGGGTGGCCCCACACAACCCAAAGAAACGTAAACATCGAAGCCATACACTCTGCGCTGAAGTCTGATCGTTGATCAATCAAAAATGGCCTGCCAACATTCTGATGGTTGATCGACAATTAAACTTCAGCGTAGAGCACACAGCTTCGATGTTTTCATTTGTTTGGCTTGTGCAGGGATGGCCTATATCGCATCATCATGCATGCTATCTCAGCCATCATAAAACCTTACGAACCACAGGAACACAATCGGACGTGATATACACTCCTCACCATACCCCGTTTATAACAGTTGCTACGTTTCCGTAACTATTTTACAGATTTAAAAAAGAACTTGATTCTGTTTCCATAACAACTATCGAAAACTCTCTTCTCGGAAAACGTTACAAGTTCATGGTAGATACAAGTATACTGATAAAATTTAGTTAAGTCCCTTGAAAGGCTTAATTTTGTTGACTGCACATAGATACCACGCACTTTTCCACAATAAAATTGGTCTTAAAACTTACTAGCCGGACTGTATATAAAAATGTTTTCAATTACACAATTTTGAAATATAAATTAAAATCTTAACAATATTTTGTAAATACTACATCACCGACAGTTTTTAAATGTGCTTTGAGCGTTTTTATCAGAAAAATTTTATGTGGATGGGACAGTGATAGTTTAAGACATTTTTAAATCCTTGTTAATTTATTTTTATGGTGTTTGTGAATTTTTTTACTAGTCATAGAAGTCCTGTTTTCGTTAACATGTTAAAAGATTTAATATTTATTAATAAACAAAATAAATAAAGTAACTCTTTTCATTCATACTTGGTTAAAATAAAATGATGATACACCAACACACACAGGATAGTTCGATATTTTGAATTAGTTGCAATAGATGGGTACTCTCGTAAAAATATTACAAGCTATACTTATATGACATCATTTTTTATCCAATCGATTTTCAAGATTTACCATGAAATGATATAGTGCTTGTCATTTCTGTCGAACCAACAAGATAACAAATTCTTAAGGCATAAAGGAGATGTCCTTTTTGCCCTTATAGGTCTAAATTGTCAAATAAAATAAAACTTCTGAACTCAAAATGGGTGGGCCGTATATTAGGGGTATTTTCCTTTGGATCTAGTGATTGTGGGTTATTAACGGTTCAATTATCACGTATAAAAGAAAAAGAAAAAAATTGTAACAATATATTTTTTGCATTTTTAGGTGTTTAGAGGATGTTTTCACCCCTTTATATTAAGGGTTGATTTTCAATCCGTACAAGACCGTATCAAATACGAAATTAGATATTTTCACGTTCATAATATTATTTTGATAACAACATAGATATATTTGGGGTTTTAAAACTGTTGATGATTCTTAATTTGTTCACTTTTTTTTGTCTTTTCAACCCCTAAATAAGGGTGATTTTCGCAAAACTGAAAGTGCCGAAGATCACGAAGATACAGTCTTTGGAGCTTCTTTCCAAATCAGAAATACGATTTCTGGAAGCCATTTAAAGAAAAAGAGAAAGTTTTTTTATTCATTTTAAAAACGTTTACGTACATATACGTTTTAATTGCGGTTTTCATTAAAAAAAACTATTTTTTCTTTCGTATTTCTTTTACACGGACACCTCTCTTGAAGGGACACTTTCAATCGGTCCCGTTGGTGTCCGCCCAAAGGAGATTTCACTGTATTTCAAGTTTTCGTTAAAATGCAGAGAAATGGATGAAACATGCACTTGAACATCGGTGTAAACGGCCAAGCACGCGAGTAGTGGGGCAAGGAGGGGAAGCTCGGCTGTTGTAAAAAATTTAAAATTGCAATTGTGCAAAAACTAATGGTCTGATAGCGCCTGCCTTTCGCACACCTAAAGTTGATATAATTATCTACCTGTGCCAAATTTCAGCTCTTAATCTTCATAAATTACAAAGTTATGAAATTTTGGAAAAAATCCGAATTTTTCTGTTTTTCCGGATTTTCTCCGGTTCTAATCAACTGATTGAATCACCTGACCACTCATTTTCTTTGAAATTTAATTTCCTACTTTTCCATTTATGGAATTGAGATTGCTCTAGTAGTTTTGGTTTTATAAGCAAAAAACTAAAAAAACACGTTTTTTGCACTAAAATATTCGAAAACACATCAGAGTATATCTACGGACTGTCTTTTAAATGATGGCACAGGTGGTATGCTGTTAGTATTTTTGTCAAGATATGACTTTTTTTTGCTCTATTGATTGGCCTATGGAACAAATAACATGTCTAAGTATTTACGTTTCACAATTAAAGTGTAAATTATAGGGAGCTCATACTCTCAAGAATTGTTGTCGTTACGGTACTGTCCGTAATGATGAATAAAGAAATAATCCCTCGGGTTACAATACAGCGTTCAAAAGGAGTACCATAAATGTTATTGGTGAATCTACAGACCAAAATAACAATTTTTTGCATAAACAGTGACCTTAGCAAAATGTTTCGTCCCTTAGGACATACAGCCCCTCAACCTTTCTAAAAAAGTATGAAAATTTTACAGAAATATTCAACTAAAACAGGTGCAGAAATTTGTTCCCCTTGGAATGGATTGATATAAACGTCCCCCAAGATATTTTTTGCTACAACTTTTTTGTTTGGCAAAAATTGAGTAATCAATAATACTTATCAGATATTTGTTTTTAAACATTTACCTTTATCACATTTGTACTTAAAATTGTTTATTAAAAAAATAAAATTCCTATTTGCATTGCAATTCACGACTGTAATAACTAAAAATTTAAATAGGCAGTTATCGTGCTAATGTCTAATTTCTGTCATTAAACCTTTTGTGAGTTTAGCGAGTGTGATTTTTGGATTTGCTATTCATTAATTTGGCAAACATGCCAAAATGACAGGGTATTGAAAATAAATTACCACATAGGTAATGTTTAGTAAAATTAATTGTAAATAATTAATTCAGTCAAAAAGTATTGTTCAACAAATTTCAAGCCGCGTTTTTTCAGTCCAACAGCTGGAAATCGGAATTTTCACGGTGTATGATAAATTGATTACATGTCGGACAAAAATAACACACGATAGAAAAGTGTTTGTTATAAGTAAAAATTGTAATGTCCTACAAAAATATATCCACAAATCGTCAGTCCAACAAAAAAGATGAAAAAAATCCCGAGTGATCTTTACGAATATTTTTGACAAAAAAAATGTACGCCACTGACTTTTTTGTAATTTTTATATACTTTTTAATTAAGCAACTAAAAATACAACTTTTTTGTGTCTTGATTAATTTCGAAACTTGATATGAAATATTTTATGAAGTACTAAATTTTTATCTCCTGTATACACCCATTTTTCATTTTTCTGAGTTATGTTTTACACAAAACACTTTCTTTCACTTAACGTTTCGTAGAAAATCATTAAATTTGCTCCGATATTTAAAAAATATTCATTGTAAATATTTATTTAATGGCTGATTATTGAAAAGGTAAACAATCCTGTAAAAATTTCAATAATTTTCCAAAGAACTTTATAAGCTATTAAAATGAGACCGTGTCCGAGGAAAAAAATGCATAGCAAACCTAAATAGGTATTTATTTTCAGGTTAAAGTTGCTACGACTCATGAAAGTAACATGAGTCGGGAACTTTTAAAGTATTATAGGAGAAAATAGTTTGAATATGTTGAATTTTGTACTTATTAATCGTCTCAAAAATAACTTCATTTGTTTATAACTTTTAAATTTTTAAGCATAAAATAAGCAATATAATTATTTATTTAAAACAAATAATAATTTACATAATAATAATTAATAACCGTTTATAAATATGAAATTTTTGGAGTGAAAAAATTAATTTCATCACGATTATTGATTTATTTATTTTTTAATAATTTGCGGACATTAAATCATCGGACACTTATATCACTATTTTGTACAGTAAATCTAAATGGAAAAAATGAAAATTAGATATGTGGTAATCGATTTATCATGCCCCATGCAACTTCCGATGTCCAGCTGTCGGACTGAAAAAATGCGGCTTGAAATTTGTCAAGACAATACTTTTTAACTGAATTAATTATTTACAATTAATTTTACTAAAAATTACCTATGTGGTAATCGATTTTCAATACCCTGTCATTTTGGCATGTTTCCAGTAACTTAAGCTAAAAAAAAGATGTGGTCTTGACTTTTCAAGACCCCGGGAAATTGCCACGTTTTTGGACTTTTCCGAGTGGAAAAAGTGGAGGAACTGAGAAAAGTCGCAGATGAAAAGTGTGGTAGACTCGTCAAAAGAAGGTCCTCACGAGTTATAAAGTATGTGGTAATCAACTTTCCAGGGGGGGGGCCTGTACTGTGGACTAGAAGCAAACGACCGATTGTATCATTGATTATGAAAAACAATATTTTGCAAATATTATGTGAAAGCTTTTTTGGGTCTCTGGATCAGACACCCCTATTTAAATATTTATTTTGTAAATTTTGTTCTAAATTTTTTCGTTGAGAAAGTTGTCCATATGGAACTATAAATGATTTGCTAAAAATTGTATGACACACTTCATTATCAAAATATCACCAACTTAATTTTCATGAGTCGTCTTTGCTAGTTATTAATAAAGTAATAAACAATAGCAAAATTAGAAGTATTAATTTAACTACTAGTGAGTAACATTTACTGAATAATATTTCTTACAAGTTCAACAGAATTTGTAAATTTATTAGGTACTTAAAAAAATTACTAAAAAAGTTTAGATGTGTTTTGTATAAAAAAAAATTACTCAAAAAAATGCATCAATTTTATGGATTTTTTATCCATCCTCCAAGACTTGTCATTTACTAGGTAGACTATTTTATAACACAATTATCTAAACTATAAAAATTGAAGGAATTAATAAAGTAGAAATTATAATCCCGTTTTTAACATTTACAAAAGATTTTATACCTAAAAACTTAAAAAACTTTAATGAATAAAAAAGTAGAATAAAAATATGTACTATTTTATTGACCGTTTATAATAAATTTGATATATCCCCAATATTGACGATAAAGATGCTATCAGCCCAACATGCCATGTTTGTAACTTGGAAGACCATAAAAACCCTGGAGGAAGTGTATTTACAGCATGAACTAAATCCATCAGTAACCTTACTGAAGTTAGAACTTCATATTTTTGCATAAGAACGATCTGTTCTATTGGTACACTAAAATAAACAAATCCATAAATTTATTACACAGAAAATATTTATTTTTACCTTTTATCTGCTTGAACACATTTCTTATGTTTCTGCAATACTGAAATGTACCTCATCGTCCTGCAAGAAAACCACTTAAAAAATCCTATTTTACTTTATTTTAATATACAATCAATAGTTCCAGATTTTCTTTTTTTTTATTAAAAAAAGTCATTTAAATAAATAAAGTTTCTTTAAATATATATATTTTACATATTCACTGAAAAATAAAATACATTTAAAAATCTGTTACGCTTTATGGGGTAAAGCCATTCTAGAATTCTGAAGAAATCGATTTTTGGAGAAATAGTTCAAGCAATGCTTTATTATAGTAAAAGCTTTAGGAGTGATTACCTCGTGAGAACGTGCGCGATAATTGCATATTATAGAGCAGGGTTGTCCAACTGGCGGCCCGCGGGCCGCATCCGGCCCGCGGTGCTATTAGTTGTGGCCCACGTAATGTTTTACGAAAAGCATATATTTTCTTTAAATGCTGCCATTGTGAAAAAAGATTTATATTTTATGGTCTCTCTGACACTGTTTTTACAACTTTTCATTATTATTGCAATGTTTGTCTTAGTTATTGAAAAAAATTGTATATAAATTTTCCATTTTTTTAGATAAATTTTATCTAAAAAGTGTAGTTGTTGAGCATTAAAAGAAATAATACTCCTTTTTTGTTTTAATCATTTGTATACCTCACTTATTTTGTTATTACTTTAACAAAATTATTATATGGCCCGCAACCACATCAAAGGTTTTAGTTTTGGCCCTTGAGGCCTTGCAAGTTGGACACCCCTGTTATAGAGGCTACATTAAGTTTCAGGTCAAGTCGAAAAGAGAATAAAGAAAATATCAATATAGAAGGCCAATTATATGGTGCAAGTATTGTTAATTGAAGGTATATAATAAATTTCTTATGCTGAATGGCAACAAAAACTTTAAAAGTGTTTTTTGAAAAACCACTTTTTTTAACTGGCCCAAAACATAACTCAAAAAGCTTTCAACAAATCAACTTGAAATTTTGTAAAGCTTCAAAATAACATAACTCGGGGAAAATTGTAGGGGGTTTTCAATTGATTGATTTAAAGCAAAATTTTTCGTCTTTTTGGTACCTTTCTTTGAGTGTTCACTAAATCGACAATTACTAATATGTTTTTATTTCCTTATGAAGTTCCCTAGATTTTAGTATATAATGGAAAATTTTTATTTTTTTGTTCCAAGACCATCTGTTAATAAGAAACTGTTCCGGCCATAGTCATCTGAAAAAAAGAGGTTTCATTGCTTGCCATCACCTACAGCCGCCATTTTAAATCCAAATCATTTTCCCGAATATCACCTTTTTTGAACCTCTAAAGTGGCGTTACCCCTGAAGATATCAACATGTATCAGTGATGGCTCGCTAAAATTAAATTGCTCATATTTTGATAATAAAGCATGGAACCAGCAAGCATGTTTTAGAGAATGATTTCTATGCCCACTTAGAGAGCTTTTAGTGGTGAAAAATTTTCTAATCAAATTTGCAAAATAGGGGTGGCTGACCGTAAAAAAAATTGTGAAGAAAAAATAGGGGTGGCTGACCTTAAAAAAAAATTGTGAAGAAAAAAATTTGTGTTCGTATCTATCAGCTGATTATGAAAAAAATATTCGAGATCTCAGGGTCAGCCACCCCAAATTAAATTTTTTTTTTAACAATTTCGTTTGAAATTTTTTCATTACAATATGGGTCTCACACTTCATTATAAAAATATGATCATTTTAATTTTTGCAAGCCATCACTGACATGTATTATACACAGTCATTAGATTTAAAAACCAAAGCTTCCTCAAACTAAACCAAAGCAAATAACTAAATATATCTCTTTACCAAAATAAAGGTGTTATTGAGACATCATATTTACTCTAAAAAAAAAATACATATTTGTTGCATATGACTAAAATTCATAGCTTCTCAGGAACAAGGACTTTATAATTTTATACTGCAGGTATCGGTTACACACAGTCAAGTATTTTAACATATTTTGGTTTAATTAAACTTCACAACAAAAACAAAAATCAACAATTAAAAAAATTATTTTTTTTCTGTTATTTAAGTGCTTAATTATGTATGTTTCTTTTTTGTTTTATTAATTTCTGGAAAATAATCACATCTGGTAAAATGATTTATTAAATAATTTCATATATTTTATTTCAATATCCTATAAAAATATTTTTAATTAATTTGGGTATACCGGAACAAACTTCACGTGAAAAACAAATTTCCTTCACATCGACTACTGTACTCGAAAATTAGAAAACAAAATTAAATATAAATTGACGTTTGTTTTAAACATTACAGAAATTAAAAATTTGTATTTTTAATTTTTTTAAATACTTTGTTACTCTGTAAAATTAAATGAGAAATAAATATAGTATAAAGTCTTCTTCATTATAAGAGTATATTTACTATTTTTTAAGTTTATAATATAACAAGGTAACAACAAAAATTAAACCAGGTATTTAAAAAAAATGGCATTAATACTTCTTTCAGACAATTGAAGTTATCCCATTATCCATTATTTTTATAAAATGAGAAATGTTTATTATTTTCAAAGTTTCTGTCCTATAAGTAAGGTATTTATATTTTTTTTGTTTTAAATTGTTTAATTTCCGATATAAATTATTATTTTACAAAAGCTGCAATTTTAATTTTGTGACTTTAATCAAATGATTTACATCATCTCAACCCTGAACCAATAGCAAAACTGAAAAATGTATGAAATTTTCATTTAAATTTACTTACTTCATAAGAGTTAAATAAATTGATAGTACCCAGCACACAGAACTAGCAGTATCCCATTTGTTATTATCAATTCCTGATACCAGCTTATGTTCTGCTATAAATGACATTTTTTCAATTGGATAATAAATCTGGTCAATAAGATTTGTGACAACGCCAAGTTGTGCTAAGTATTTATCTGGTTCCTGAAAGAATGAATAATAATTAATAACCTAAATACAATGTTGTTTCGATATTCCGTTTATTTTGGTTCCGGTAATGAAGAGTCCTATAAATATCTAGAATAGTTACATATTTAACTAGTTATTCTTATTGTGCAAATATCATTTGATTCGTGAAAGTTGAATGTGTGCTGACAAACTGTCACAGTGGCCCTTTTATTTTCCCTCTTAAAGAAAACATTTTTGTAAAAAGTACTGGGGACATCGAAGGTTTCATACAAAATTTCAAAAGTGCAAAACGGAGAATAAACAATAAAATAATAAATAAATAAATACATTTTTATGTAAATAATTCTGATTGAATGCAGGTAAGGATAGCAGGTAATACATCAAAGGTTTTATCAACTTTCACTTTCTCTTTCGATTGTACCTTTGTTGTTCTTCAAAGAGCCCCAAAGCACTATGGCAATTCTGGCTTCGCACTATATGTTTATTCAACTAACAAATTTATTCTTTTATTAAAGAAACTAAATTTCTCTAGGAAATGCAACACGTAAATAACAACAATTTGAACAACATGACCATTTTTACCTTGTAATTTTCGATTTTTCAAATTCTTTCTTTCTATGATCCATCTGTAACATTTAAAGATTTCAAAGTTTTGCCACCATAATATTTACAACAGCCACAAAACATACACTAGATACAGTATCTTGCGGTTTTTGATAAAATTGTCCTTAATGTATTACTGTTCCAATGTTAAATCTATTACCAATTCCTTTTAATTTTTCAATAAACCTTCAATATACGATATTTTTTCTGTATATACATATAATATTTTGTTGTTTCTTTGAAAATTATTACATACAGGTTCGGAAAGTCCCCATGGTTCATCGGCCGTTACATGAGAGCGATAAAGTAAGTCATAGAAATCCGTGGATTTCTATGACTTACTTTATCGCTCTCACGTAACGGCCGATGAACCATGGGGACTTTCCGACCCTGTATACTGAATAATATTCCAAAATCAGGACATTTAGTGTCCTGCCAGAGGGTTAGCAATACTTTGAAATATTTACCAAATATCAGGTTGTCCCCCAAAAATTGGGCAATCCAAATTTTTCTTAAGAAATCGAATTTGTTGTATTTGTGGTAACTCTTGGAATTAAGTGTACTTCAGAGTAACAAGTGCTATCAAAACTTAATCTTATTACAGATACAACTCAATTTTTAAGTTCTCTAGAATGGTCGGCCAGTTCAAGATAAAATTTGTAATCATAAAATATCTTGCAGTGAATTGCAGCATTGTAATTTTTCATTTACCAAAATAAAGCATAATGTTATTGTAAAATATCTAGGGGTTATGGTTATGGTTGACTGTCATTTGTAATAAACAACTCACATAGATAATTTAAACAAAAGATTAAGAGCACTATTTAATAAATTTTGTGTGAAATATTCAACAAAAAGAAATTCTTTGGTCAAATCAATTCTAAAATGTTGCTTTTTAATATGGGGTAGTGGGGATTTATGATATTTTTTATAATTTAAATAATTCAATGAACTTGCATTGAAGATAATTTAAAAAGTAGATTACCTTCATCCTTTTAATTTAGCATTAAAAAACTGGATTATTATCAATGTTTACTTTATGTGTTCAAAATCCTTCATGTCTGTTGAATATATCATAAGTATAATAGAATAAAAAAGATTTAACACATTACACAAGAATATAAAAACGGAAAACATATTTATTTAAAAAAAATATATCTACTGCAACATGATAATGATTATTTTGTTATATATA